CTTGAATGTGTGGGTGGTGTAATGGATAACCCCTCGGAATTAGGAGTGCTCATTCAATAATGTAAAGTCCATTATCGAACGCTTAGAGCTTTTTAATAAAAATTAAACAAATTTATTTTTTGACTACATGGCGCATTACTTTTGCTCGAATCTCCCTCTCCCTCTCTTTGTCTCTCTTTCTCTCTCTCACCGTATGAGAATTTGCGTCTAGACACGTCGGACGCAAATGATTTTAAGATTTAAAATTTGGCGTTGATTCATCTTCAGCATTTCTTCTCAGGGCATAATTATAAGTGACGTTTCAGCTTATACTATCCCATCTCACCATATATATATATATATATATATATATATATATATATATATATATATATATATATATATATATATATATCAAACATGTGGTGCAGTTCAATTTATATTACAATGAATCATTCATACAAAAAGTAATTAGTAAAGTTAATGATATAAAATGATTTAAATCCCTTCAAACAAAAATTTAAAGATAGATTAACTTACTAATCACTCGATGAATGTCATGATCCTTGTTTTTAAAATGTACAGCCGAAAGTACTTGCGTATTTAAGAAAGACCTTATACAGTTTTTAATTAAAAAAAAAAACCCAAAACAAGGATCATAGCATTTATCGAGTGATTAGTACGTTAATGCACCTTTTAAAATTTTGTTAACGAAGGGATTTCGCCATTTTATATCATTAACTTTACTAATTTACTTTTTGTATGAATGATTCATTGTAATATATATATATATATATATATATATATATATATATATATATATATATATATATAGGGCTGATGCAAGGGTGTGTAGTGGGCCCCACTGAATCTATGATACCCAGAAATTATGTCACGGAGCCCTTACTGTACTACCTGTCAATTTTTATAAGATAGTATTCATATAAAATACAAATTTTATTGGAACCTAATTATGTGTAATAATTAATCATATGCAATAGAGGTAAACAATTCAATTAGAAAAAATGAAAATAAATAAAATGTATCTAAATACAAATTAGAAACATATAATAGATCATTCCATCTTAAATAAATCAAAAATGTTTTGCAGCAATTCTTAGCATCATCTTGAGATTTTTCTTGTTAAATAGTTGAATAACTTTAACACATTCAACATTATGGATAAAAAAATAGTGAATTTTATATAGTATTTTTTCGAAACGGAGCAAGAACAAAACAAATTCACGGATTTGGGCGGGAAAAACAAGATAAAAAAGACTCCAGAATTGAGTTAAAATCCACAAAATCATTTCATCCTTTAATAGTTAATTGTACTTAGTTTAATTTGTATGTATATAAATATTGGTAGACAAAAGCAAATGTTGATAAGACAGCGAGGGTCACAAAGTACTGCTAGAGGCCCACAGTCTGGCTTTATTATTTGAAACAAAAGCAAAGTATATAAATTTAGTAGCATAACAGAACAAAAATACACATGTTAGATTTAGTGTTCAAACTAAAGAATTTTGGCAAAATTTCTTGGTATTCTTTTCAGTCCCCACGTTGGGTGTTCTTTCATAAAGAGAACAATTACCTCGCGTTGAAAATTTGATAACTGTGACATCCTGGGACAACAAATGCTTAAAAAAGAATTTCTATGTTAATTTTTTTAGTTCATTCATATAGTAAAATATATAGTTAATCTTTTTTTTTTATATATTTAGTTAATTTTTTCATCATATAGTAAATCTAAAATTTCCTGTTTTTTTGTGGGGCATCCTTTATATATATATATATATATATATATATATATATATATATATATATATATATATATGTGTGTGTGTGTGTGTGTGTGTGTAGGTATGTAGAAAAATAGGAAAGAACACGTTAGGTAAATAATCCAGGGTTCTTTAGTATTTTTGTTTTTATTTTTAAAAGCAGTGCTCCATACAGAAGTAGAGCTTAGATTATAATTATTTTTTTATTTTATTTTTTTATTTTTAAGAATCATATTTTAATATATATATATATATATATATATATATATTCAAACACACACACACACACATATATATATATTCACACACACACACACAGTGCCCTAATATTTCGATATATAGAAATTTATATGACATATTCTCCCATACACAGACACACACACACAGACACACACACACACATATATATTCACACACACACACACACACACATATATATATATATATATAATTCCATTAGTAATCAGTAAAAATAATATTTTATCCTGATGAAGTCCTTTTAAAAGACTAAATGCGTTACATATTTTTTACAATTTGTCAACATGGCTTTGATATAGCGATTTACTAAGCGTAGCTTAGATATGACACAAGGCGGAAATTATGGAGCACTCAGTTAGGCTCGATCTTACTACTCAGTCGTAATTAATCCAATGAGACAAACCTGCTAACCATTACACTATGCCGAAGTGCCCTGTCATTTCGATATATAAAAATTTATCGCGATTTACTAAGCACAAGGTAAAAATATAAAGCACCCAGTGAGAATCGAAATCACTACTCAGTCGTAATCGTCTAAGTGCCCTAATATTTCGATATATAGAAATTTATATGACATATTCTCCCCCCCCCCATATATATATATATATTACTTTAAACGTCATATTTAGTTGATACACGTGTTGGAATAGACATCCCAGTTTTGTTTAAACGATGTAAGTTTATGGCTATCGGCTTGTGAAATCAAGCGTCTTATTAAAGGAAATATGCCTTCTAGAAGAGTCCGAACCTGCATCCCTCTTGTAGGAGAAATTAACGTATAGCCTGGAGTATTATATAAGTTTGCGTGCGTGAGTTGTGTTTTTATTTTTAGAAGAATACTCATTCTGGAATAATCGCAAATATTTAGAGAATGGCCAAATATGCGAGATGAAACAAACAAGCGTGCGACATGAGCACGGGTAGATATCAAGAAGTGTTTATCTTCTAAGGATCACGTAATTAAAAAAGATTTCTACTTTCAAAAGCTTACTCTTACATTCGGCCTATCATACAAGTGATTTTAAGAACCACTCCTTAGTATTTAGTCTGAAAAAAATTATAAAAACATATTTTCTTTAAACCTGATTTTCCAGTTATCTTAACCAGTTTGATACCCAGACATTTTAAAAGATGGATCATTAAAGGCTCCGATTTGAAAGTAGCGTAACGACGCAAAATGTGGAGTCAGCGATCCGTGTTCAAATTGCAGCGATCCGAGTTCAAACTGCACCAATCCATCATTTCTTCAATTGGGTTAAATGATAGAATAGGCCGGGTAACTTACAGAAGGAGGATAAGTTTAAATTCAAAATCCTGGCGAAAGCAACAAGAAACCACGCCACTACCTTTGTTAAGAAACCATGCCAATTCACAGATATAAATAAAAAAAGGAAAAGAAGCTGTGGAGAGCAATTATACTACTTCCTGAAGAAAGATGTCACTAAATTAATTAGTCTCGGTTCATTTCTTGCAGTATTAAAAATTTAGGTCTATTACTAAGATAGTAATATAGACCAAGGGTTCTTAACTAGGGGGAATTTCTTCGGGGGTGAGGTATCCCTTCCCGGAGAGAAATTCCTTCCCAGATGGGGAATTTCTTACCAGAGGGAGTGATTCTTTTACTTTTTCTTGTTTTTATTTGCAGAATTTTATTTATTGAATTCCAATCCCTTAGCATCTAATTGAACTTTTGTTTAGTGAAGTATGCTTCAGTTTATTCAATAATTTGTTATGAATTAAAACGAATTACTGTAGATGTATTCAAGTTTAAAAATCCATCAATATTTTCTATTGCTATTAAATTTGTAAAACTCCTCTATAAAAACAATCCTCGTAGATGTATATGTACTAATATGGAAATGAATTAAGATTTTCAATCAAATATGAATATTATTTGTAATGTGTCTTTTGAATTGGGCAATCTTAGAACGGCGGGGTTAATGACATTTTGATTTATGGTGAAAAAATATTGAGAACCACTAATATAGACTGAACAGTTCCAACATTTATAGAACATTCTTTTAATAATTTCTGCAAATATTATTTTAATATTCAAATAATTTTGCAATATTCTTTATCCAGTTTAAAGTTTAATTAAATGTATTAATTCTATAAATTGAGTGAAGCTTAAAAAAACCGCTAACCCTGGAATTGCATTCTTAAGAAAAATGAGTAAAGTCAGTTTTATGGAAGTATCGATAATAACTAATGATATCACATGGCTTGGTTTGCTAAAATCGGTCTTTCCAATTTCCTCAGGTTGAATAAAATATAAAGCGGTTTGTACAACTGACAAAATGACTATAATTGCGCGTTGATGACACATTTTCTTCTAACCAATTACTGCAATCCATCATTTGAGCTAAGTGAAGCCTACGACTGGTCCGTTTGGGAACAACACAATGATAGATATTTGTGTCAGTGGCGTACACGCTTTAAACAAAACGTACATAGTACCAGAGAAAGCTATGATTGTTCAGATAAAACTGATTGCTGTCAAAACGGGAGAAAAGTTGATACTTACTGAGAAGGAAGCTAAAATATCTGTATTCTATTCTTTCACTCGTGCTTACAAACAAACTGACAGCTTGTCAGATAATTACAACTAAAACCAACATTTTCATGAAATTGAAGACTTGGATATTTCGAAGCCAAAACGAAGGAAAAAAAAGTCCCTTATCTTACATATGCAACAACGAAAAAAAGTTCGTGAGTTAGGACCTTTCCAAAACACGTTGAAGAAACTGTCGACATAAAAAAAAAAAATTCCCTTCAAAAACTTAGAAGTTCATAATCTGAAAATGTCCCGGAATCGTTACCAATTTACAGTGTATGATTATATTCTCTTCGCTGCGATGTTATTCATTTCAGTAACCATTGGGATGTATTATGCTTTTTTTGGATCACGCCAAAAGACAGCGAAAGAATTTCTGATGGGAGATCGGAATATGCAGCTGTTTCCAATCGCAATATCCATCATGG